TATATATGTATATGTATATATATATGTATATGTATGTATATGTATATGTATATATGTATGTATATGTATGTATATGTATATATGTATATGTATATATATATGTATATGTATATATGTATATGTATATATATATGTATATGTATATATGTATATGTATATATATATGTATATGTATGTATATGTATATGTATATATATATGTATATGTATATGTGTATATATGTATATGTATATGTGTATATATGTATATGTATATGTGTATATATGTATATGTATATGTATGTATATGTATATGTGTATATATATGTATGTATATGTGTATATGTGTATATGTATGTATATGTATATATGTATATGTGTATATGTATGTATATATATATGTATATATGTATATGTGTATATGTATGTATATATATATGTATATATGTATATGTGTATATGTATGTATATGTATATGTATGTATATATGTGTGTATATATATACACACGTATATGTGTATATGTATGTATATATGTGTGTATATATATATACACATATATGTGTGTATATATATATACACACATATATGTGTATATATATATACATATGTATATACATATGTATATATATATATGTATATGTATGTATATGTATGTATATGTATATGTATGTATATGTATATATGTATGTATATGTATGTATATGTATATATATATATATGTATGTGTATATGTATGTATGTGTATATATATTTATGTGTATATATATATATATGTATGTGTATATATATATATATGTATGTATATATGTATATATGTATATATAATATATAAATGAAGAAGGTGGCTTCATCCTCCACTTATAGAGTATAGTATGCACTGCCAAATCCCACGATATAGCAAAAACTCTGCGATACAGCGAGTGACTCTCGATACACACACATATATATAACGCTAAAAATGCAAATGAAAATAAACTACAGCACGCCTTTAATTTGAAGATCTGAGCAGGGTTCAAACCCAGACTTCTGATTATACGACAGCAATTTTAACCGTTGACCTACCACAGCTCGATGCCACACACTTAATTAAAAAAGGTCCTATCACGTCGGCTGAAGTTTCCCATTCTTTGTTCATCCTCCTCAGTTTTCTGTGTTCTGTTTTGGTCCCGTTGGTCTGCTCCGAGTGGATCTCAACAGAATATCTCCACTGTTGGACTCATCAGGTTTCACTGCAGCTGTCCCTGCATTTGATGAGCTCACATCAGGTCTAGTGTTAGCAATGGTTGTATCAATGCTAGTCCTGTCGTGATAAACAATAAAACAATTAATCGCATGATAAAAGAAAACTGCCGACCTCATTTTCATTGATCGGCTCTATCGTTTCTTCATGTCTCTTTTTACTGAAGGCACTGGACGACAAAAGTCTCAACTCCCGTGTTCTTCACTGACCCCCCCACCCCCCTTCTCTTTAAGATCGCGTTTTTGGATCGTTAAAAGCAGCAAAGCTGGGAAGCTAAGCTACGAGCTAAGCTAACAGGCCGACATCAGAAAAAAACCTCCGTCTCGTCGAAGCTCCAAAATTCACGGTTGAAACTCGTGCCTTTGTGTAAAAAGTTGTTTTTCTCTGCAAAAAGAAGCGGAGAACTTGTTGACTGATTTTTTTTATTAAAAGCTTTGTGTGAAAAATGCTAAAGAGTTCAAACCAGACTGCCCATGTCACGTCAAGGTGCCTCCGCTGCTCGCTCCCTCACTATCCATCCTTTGGTTCTAACAGTCTTATACTGCCATCCAGTGGTCAAAAAAGGTACTACACACAACACCAATTAAAATTTTCTTTTTTTAGTAATTATTGTCAAATTTCAAACAATATTATCGTTTATCCCAATAATTTCTGAGACGATGAATCGCCCAGCAACATTTGTTATCGTGACAGGCCTAGCATTAAAACTAGATGAATGTGTCCGTGGGGCAGAATATTTTACACCCAATGAACCTTTCTTTGTTGGACCTGTCCGGTGTGATCACTGCCGACGTGCTCTGCTCCTCTTGATGAACGCGGTCGGTGAACTCTGCCGCTCCTGAACTGTAAATAATTAAAAAGCTGAGAATGAATCACTAAAAATAAATTTAAAAAATCCATTTAATATTGTTATAATAGTTGAAAGACAGAACAAAACAACACAGCAAGCTAAATTAACAAGTAATTATTTATTAGAGGGAACTACTTTGTGGGGCGGATGAGTACCTTTATGGACCGGTCACCACCGGACCTTGTTATGTGACGTCTATAAGGGTGTACCGTTTAGTGCACGTATGTCAGGTGGCCTGTTAACAGAAACACGACATGCTTTACCCCTAAGGGTCGCGTGTAGATTTGAGTCTCGTGTTCTTGTGTGTGATATTGTTCACGTGTGCCTGAGGGGTCGTGTTGCACCTGCTGCATATCCAGGAAATGACACCTTTATAAATAAAGGTCAAGAATTCCTTTAGGAATGCATATCACCCGTCACCTTCCACGCCAGAGCTGGAGCCGCAGAGATCTTGCACAATCTTTTACCGCCCAGCGTTTGTTGAGGATCAGTCTCATCTCCCATCACATTAAATCTTAGGTCCGTGGCTTTGAAACTTTACGTTTGCAGTCGCCTCTGGCAGACATCTGGAGCCGAGTCGACTCCACAAGTCGATCAGTTCTTGTTGAACATTTAACGATCAGTTCCTGTGAGTTTTACTAAAAGTCGTCCTGCGGTTCTTGAGATATTTTGAAAGCAGACGGTCATCGTCTGTGGGAGGTAACGGGTGTGGCAGCGAACTTAAGCGTCAGAAGGTGCATTTATTTATTTATTTTGTTAAATCTGTGAGGGGGAGGACACATTTTTTTTTGTCCATCAGGTCTCATCAGCCACGTTATTTTTTAAATTTAAATCACATAATTTTATATTTACAACCCAAACCAGCACAAGTGAAGAGTTGTGCAAATACAAGTGCAGCAAATAAAGTTTGACTTGAATAACTTGCGTCTCTTGAAGAGATGATTTCTATCCACATATCTATAAATAAAACCGCAGCTAGCCGCGAGGCTTCAAACACCTTAAAGACTTTATTATCAATTAAAAGTAAAGTTGAAGCGCATTTAACAAATAAGCGTCTAAAATGAGTGTTTTGATCATAAAGAGTTTGCGAAGAAGCCGTAAGTGAAAAGTTGAGTTTGGTCCTGTTGGGCAGCGCACATGGGCCTGGACCGAACCCCGCGGCGCTCGGTGCTGAGCAGACGTTATAAATAACGAGTCGGAACGTTAGCCGACACCTCACGCAGCGTAGAGAGGAACGTTACAGTCCAGAGGCAGAGATCCAGATGTTAACGCCAGAAAAAACACATCAGCAGCTACTACTGGCAACAATTAGCAACTTTCTTTTTACAATAATTCATCTTTTTAACCTCATTTTATAACTTTTTTTTTTACATTATCACCCCAATTGTTCAAGTTAATGTTCACATTCATTTAAACTGTTTTATAAGATAAATAAAAATAAATAAAAAACCTCCCGTTAGTTAATAAATCGGTAAGTAGGGTTTTTGTATTTGTTCGTTAAAACACAACTCTTACATCTTTTTTTGTGCATGTCTGTTTTTGGACTGAAGGTGGAAATTCGTCTGCATCTTTTCTCGTGTGAGATTAAAGTTGAAGTGGTTTGTTCTTCGTAAATGAACTAAACTAACACGTACCTGTTGTAATAAACAGCAGACCCGGCTGCAGCAGAAGATCGGATCAGCCAGGAGACGTCTGAGCTGGAGAAAAGACTCAGCCTTTTGTCGGAGTGCAGCCTGGCCAGCAGCTCAGGTAAAACTTCACTTCATCAACCGGCACGCCGCCCGCTAGCTGTTTGTGGTCCAGCGACGTGCATCGTGCGGGGGCGGTCAGCTCAGCTGTCCTCATGAATTATTAATGGCGTCATCATCAATCCGCCCAGTACAGTTGGACTGGCAGGACTTGAGTCACGTCTCTGAATGTAAACCGACAGTCTGGGACGGTTTCTGTCGCGGCTCTGAGCTCGTGTTAGTCAGAAATATGAAGCTCGCTGTGGGAGAGGCCCATGAATCATTTTCACTGCCTGCCTCAAACTGCGGGCTGCGAGCAGCAAGACGACGGATTTCTTTCCCTTCACTGCAGCGAATGACGACTAGAGAAATGGCATTTCCTGCAAAAATGTAGCTACAGAAGAGCCTGCTGAAAAACAGCTGAAATGAGCTAAAAGCATGCTGAAATAGAAGAACAAGCCTAAATTAGCAGAAGAAAGTAGAAACAACACATTTGGTGAATTAGGTTTAAATACGCAGAAATGAGCACAAAAATTAGCTTTAAATAAAGCTGAAATTGGCAAAATAAATTAGCTTAATAGTAGCTGAAAATGCATTAAAAAAACTTAAACTACTAGAATGAAGCAGAAAGAGCTGAAATAAGCTAAAAAAAAATATGGGATTGGCTGAAAATGCTGAAATTAGTATAAAAACTGCTAAAAAGCAGCTGAAATAGCAGAAAAAGTTGAAACTAGTAGAAAAAGCTGAAAGGAACACAACAAGCTTAAATTAGCCTAAAGAAGTTAATTAGGCAGAAAGTACCAAGAAAAACCTGAATTTATCTGAAAACGGCTGAAATTAGCTAAAAAAAAAAAAATGCACAAAAAAGGTAGAACAAGCTTAAATTAGATGAAGAAAGTAGAAAGAACATGTTTGCTGAAAGAAGCAGAAATAAGAAAGTAGCTAAAAAGGCAGAAAGAAGCGTAAATTACAAAAAGGAAGTGGAGAGAGCATATTCTTGCTGAATTATGCTAAAAAAAAGTTGAAATGAGTGCAAAAAATGTGGAATTAACTGAGAACGCTAAAATTAGCATCAAAATAGCTAAATAGTAGCTGATATACTGGTGGTAGAAAAAGCTGAAACTTACAGAAATAAGCTGAAAGGAGCACAAGAAGCTCAAATTAGCAGAAAGCAGTTAGAAGCACAAAAATGTTGTAGTTAGCAGAAAGAATCTGAAAGGAACAAAACAGCTGAAAAACAAAGTATAAATTAGCAGCAGGAAGCTGAAAGAAGCTGAAGCAGAACAAAATGTGAAAGGAGCCGTAAAAGGCTGTAAACAAAGCTAAAGATTTGAAGGATGGAAAATGAGCTCAGTTCATTTTCTTTGAGAAAAGGCTAAATATTTCAAACAGCTAAAGTTGCACCAATACCAAAAGTTGAAGCAGGATTGTCCTGAAAGAGCCGAACGTTTAGCTTCATGATTTGTTGAAATGGCCGAAAACTGCGAGACGAGAAAAACACCGAAAGAAAATGATCCTGAACGTTCACTCTGCTGTTAAAGCACTTCCTGTCGGGCGCTGATGCAGAGCGGACCCGACGCAGGCGGGAGACGAGTTCAGGTTTATCAACAAATCTCAAAACCATGAACAGGAAACAGGCAAAATGCAAGAAGGTGCATTAATCCAGATTAAAACCAGATTAAAACCAGCAGCGTGAGAACACCAGGAAGGTGAGGACAGATGTGCACATCTGTGGGCTAACACAACATCAGAGAACAGAAAGTTAAAATGCAAACAATAACAGTTGTGGACTAAGATTATCTTATGCTGAGTCGACATTTTAATCAAACCTTGAAAATAATCTCATGCAGTTTAAAAGCTGTCACATTCAGAGTGTTGAGGAAACTTTCAGCTACTACCACCTCGATCTTCAGCTGTACCTTCAGTTGAGCTGTTTGTGTCGATGAGTGCACGTGATGATCGTTTCCTGAAAGCTTTAAAACCCATCCAGTGGTTCATGAGATGTTTGGCTAACAGAGATGTTGGTGGTCAAAGTTTAAACGAAGACCTTGAGCAATCAGAGCTCAGAGTATGTGTTGAGGATCAGTCTCAGCTACTACCGCTCCAACGTTTAGCTCAGTTTGTGTCAAATTGAACGAGAAGCTGTTTTATTTATAAACATGTATTTTTTAAGCGCACGTGGCGTCTCTTGAGCTGGTTGACTCCACGACATAAAGTTGTAGACGTACATCCAAAGATTACTCTGCACGCTGGATAAAGCACCTGCTGTCAGTAACTCGTTTCTTCTGCTCTGCTCACTTTCTCCTCTTCAGCCTCCTCCTACAGCTACAGCACATCTGTTGCCGGGGACGACCGCAGCATCTCCAGCTCCTCATCCAGTCAGTCAGAATCGAGCTGCGGAGGCAGACGGTTCTGGAAGGAGGCGCCGTTTAAACCGCTCCTCTCCGACGAGACGGCATCCAGCTCGTCCACGCTGAGAGCTCTGACCAGATCAGAAGACCGACTTAACGGCTCGGTGACGGGGGGCCTTGGCCCCGGGAGTCGCCCGTCCTCTGCCCAGCTCCGCCCTCGGGGCCTCCATGACAGCGGGCGGCAGAGCTCCTTAGACAGCGGCATTGGGATCGCGACAGGCAGCCACTCGTCCTACTCTGGAAGCTTCTCCTCGTGCACGGGGAGTTTGGACATGGTCAATCAAGGAGGAGGGGAGGAACTTGACTCGGTGGTCAGCCTTCCTCCTCCTCCTTCTATGAATCCCCCTTCTTCACCTCCCCCTGCACCCCCTCCAACCCCTCCTCCATCACCTGTTCAGCCCAGTCCTGCCTCCTCACAGGCCTGCACGTCCAAAAGTGGCTCTCGAGCATCTTGTGTGCACAGCGAGGAGTACCGAGCCCCCAGCCTGCTCCGATGGTGGTATGACACCCCCAGGAGTCTTCTTCAGGCCCTGTCACTGAGGGGGGCACCTGCCCAGGGGGCCACACCTGACCTGAGCAGCCATATGCAGGGACAGGTGTTAAACACCGACATTGAGGCTCAGCGCCAGCGATTGATGCTGCGCTCGCTTTCCTGGGG